CAATTTGCTACACTATATATATATATATATATATATATATATATATATATATATATATATATATATATATATATATATATATATATATGGATTATTAGCCTAATATTTAGGCAGCCAAATAACGGCCTTAATAATTAATGATCTAGGCATAGGTTTGTGCCAAGGTAGCTAAGCAATCTCATAACCAGATCAATAATATTTTTAGGAAATAAAAAAATCAAAATAATAATAATAAGGCTATTAATATTAATGATAACAATAACAGAAATTTGTATGCTATTAATTAAGGAAATAATAATAATGATCGTGATGATGAAGAATATGATAATAAAAATAATAATCATTATAATATTGAAACTGGAGTAGTTGTGGTATATATGACGATGATAATGAAGATAACGACGATGATGAAGAAGACGATGATGATGAAGATGGCGACAAAGATGAGGATAAAACAAATTAATTGATTCGTTTAATTTAATACTCTGGAGGAAACAGAAGCCAGCTCATTACCAACCACTTAATAATAAATTAATAATACCAGGAAATGAACCTACGTGAAATTTTTTTATATTTCACCGTCGAGTTGAGAGATCCAGGCCTATGTTGAAGTCACACGCTGAAACATTTGCTGTATATTTATATGTATGCATGTATGTATGCATGTATGTATGTATGTATGTATGTATGTTTGTTTGTTTGCTTGTTTGTTTGTTTATTTATTTATTTGTTTGTATGTATGTATTTATTTATGTATGTACGTATGTATGTATGTAAATGTAACTGCATACATATGTACAAGCATGCATGCATATACAGATGCATGCATGCAGGCATGCATGCATGTACATATGCACGTACGCACACACACACACACGCACGCACGCACGCAAGTGTTTGTATGAACGAGTATATTTTCACTTCATGGCCAAGAAATGCAGGTGATAACCTGACAACAAGCAAGAGAGAAAGTCATATATACCTTGAGTTTACCGTTATAGGCATTACTTGCTCTTAGAGGTTGAAGGTATTGTATGGTATTAGAAATGCATAGTATTAAGTATTAAAATACTTTTTTAATACTTTGTTAATTAGTATTTAAACGCCAAATACTGCTATTTGTATTTGAATACTTTCTACAGAGAATTGACAATTTAAAAAATACCAAGCCATCTTCATTTGACACAATTTGCGCAGTTAATAGATGTGTTTACGTGCTGGATAATCAATCAATCAATCAATCAATCAATCAATTAGCTTATAAAGCGCTATTTCCGCGATGTTCAACAGCGCTCCTCAATGAATTTTGAAAACAGATGGGTCTTGAGATCCGCTCTGAACTTCGCAAGTGATGGAGAAATAGTTAGAGAAGTAGGTAGAGAGTTCCAGAGAAAAGGACCAGAAAAAGCAAAAGCAGATTTGGCAAAAGAGTGTTTAACACGAGTTAAGAAAAAGCGAGAAGAAGAAGACGATCGTAAACCGGGGCGTTTAGGGTCAATTAATATATCTGATAAGTACTTAGGAAATAATTTATAAACTGATCATACATTGCAAAACTTTTTCATATACACAAACATCACGTGGCTGTAAATTTTATGAAATGTTTACAAGACTAATGGAACATAAATAATATCAAAATTCACCCAAAATACTTGTTAACTTTATACAGGAGGAGTGGTGTCTCAAACTGATCATCTGAGGCTAAGCAGCTGTTTGTCAAACTAATTAAATTTGTTAATTTGCAATTAAATTTGTTTAATTTTACCAGTTTAAATTTGTTACTACTCCAAATTATTACTCCACTGTTTAATTAATTAATTGTTTAATTAATCATTTTAAATACCTCCCAAATACTATGGTGATTTTTCAAAAGTATTTAGGTATTTGAATGCTCCTAATACTTAACAAAGAGTTGAGTATTGCTTATGTAATATTATGTAGTTTTGTGGGGATGTTATATATTACTTACCTATGTTTATGCGTGTGTGTGTGTATGTGTGTGTGTGTTGTGTGTGTGTATCTGTTGTGTGTGTGTAACTGTGCATGTATATGTTTAGTTTAGTGTTCATTGTATGTCATTGTTTATGTTTTGTTTTGTGTGTTTAAAATGATTGTGTATTTGTATCTTTGGTTATAAGTTTGTTTGTTGTCTATGTTTTTTTGGTGTTAATATTTGAATTGCTTTTTGTAATTTGTTTTTAGAATTATGTGTATGTTTGTTTGTTTGTTTGTTTACACGTTCACACATTTACATGTTTGTATGTTTCTTTGTTTCATTCTCTCACAAAATATTTTAGACAGGTTCGTTCACGTTCTTACATGTTTAGTCGTCTGCAGTAAAGAGTCAAGTGCGTATGCGTGCGTGCGTGCGTGTGTTCGTGTGTGTGTGTGTGAATGTGTGCGCGATTGTGTGTTTGAGGTGTGGTTTATGTCTGAGAACCTCTAAAATATGATCTTAACAACGATAGCAGAGAGATTTGATTGAAAGCGTACAATTGACGTTGTCATAATAATAATAATAATAATAATAATAATAATAATAATAATAATAATTAATAATAATAATAAGAAGAACAACAATAATAATAATGATAATAGTAATAATAACAATAATAATAACAATAAAAACCTTTGTCATCATCATCCTCATCGTACATTTAATGTAATTCATTAGAAGCATTCGAAATGTATTAGCTCTACAGATCGATATGTGGTACCGGCGATGGACACACACACATACACATATATACATACACATACATACACAAATATATACACACACACAAACACACACCTATTTTCATACAGAAAAAAATACGGAAACATTCAAACACAAATATATACACACACCTAACCACACACACACACACACATACACACGCATACACACACACATACAAGTGCGTTTTGTATGTGCGTGTGTATAAAAAACCACATCACACATCACCATAGGCCATTGATTTTTATCGTAACCAAAATAACATTTATTGTGGATGATGCGATGATGATGATGATGACGACGACGACGACGATGATGATGATGACGATGATCATATGGAAAAGGAGAGAAAATTAGAGAGTAAAGAGGAAGAGAGAAAGAGAGAGAGAGAGAGAGAGAGAGAGAGAGAGAGAGAGAGAGAGAAATATGAATGACAATTTTAAAAACAAAATTGAATGGCATATTCCACAGATTTAACAATCAATGAACTTTTTTAACATCATCACCACATTACACATCACCATCACAGGTCTTCATCATCGTCGTCATCATCGTCGTCACCATCATCATCATCATAATCATCATCACCTTCCTCACGATCATCTTCATGGTCGTCATCGTCATCGTCACCATCATCATCACCACCACCACCATCATGACCATCTTCATCATCATCATCACCATCATTATCATCATTATCACCATCTTCATAGTCTTCATCTTCATCATTAAATTAAAACTCACCAGTTCCGATGTGTTTTTACTTGAACAATCTATTGTCGTTTCAAAATTATTATTCTGATTTCTGA